TGAAATCCTATGGCGACAATATGATAGCGAATTATTGGGTCACCCAAGGGCAATTTGTGTGTCAACACAATAAAGTGTTAAAACTTGTATCCCCTCAGTGGTTCATGATAGAAGCAATGCGGTAATTGGAGAGATATGCGAGAGAAAAAATCGGGAAAAGAGATAGGAACTTCGTCAAGTGTTCAGCGTTAAGTGAGCAAACTATCATGGATACCGTATTTATGGCACATTTGTAATAGAAAGAAGAAGGAAATTATAGGCCAAATGTTATGGGTGTAGTTATGTGGGAAGTGCAATAAAGCAAAACTTTTACTCTTCGAAATGGTCTTTAAAATGAAAAAGAGACCCATTTATATCTAGATTGCCTTATCAGTCGCCTCTGTGTGTTTTGATATTGTTTCACTCGCCCTTGTATGACTTTGTCCCATTCCATGAATCTTCATTGATTTATGGAAATTGTAACTCACATAGAAGAGCAAAGCTTAAATCTAAGGACCTCTCTTTAACTTAATGTATTGCTTTCCTATTGGCAATTTTAAGTTAAGGAAAAGTCCTTTTGTTTGGGAAGATTCTTTAAACTAAAGCATTGATGTGTTGATGGCTATTTAGAGGTCGTTGTATTGGCAAAATAATTCTGAGGAGTTTCCTGAAACAAAATTGCTTGGTCACGCAACGATCAGTTTTCTTGTAACACCTTCAATTCACGCTATTAATCAAACCTATGCACTCTGACGACAGTTGTATGGTACTAAAATAAAATCTTTGAAAGTGTATATCATTGGTGTCTGGAATTTGTGTATAGACAATGAGAAAGGTCATTTTTATATCTTGTATCAAATAATATCCGCCAGCTTAGAATTATCCTCGAAATTGCCTTTGTCAACAGTTCTTGAGCGGATCATCGGTAAGCGGTCTACGACCAGACAAGGTCACGTGACGGCTTTGTGACAGGAACAGATACACATATGCAAGTATTGCGACACTACAATGAATCTTTTACGAAGCAACATGTTTCATGTCATAGTGTTTTTCAGAAGAAATGATATCTGAAACCAGAGTATTTAAATGTTTTAATTATTAACCCTTGTTGGTCAAGATAATGCTCACTGTGGAATGAGGAAAACCCAAATGCCCCGAGTAATGCAACGTTATCATATACTTGATCCAAAACTATGCAATCGACTCTCGAACTCCAGTTGTCTTTATTATAATATAGATTTTTTTCTCGTTGTAGAATTAAAACATAACATTGCTATTCCACCATTAATTACCTATTCGATCTATTATTCTATCATGATTTATTATTCTGTAAGTTATAAAAGTGGTTGTGTGTAATAAAATCATAACAAGCCATCTTATTCTAAAGCTATTCTTTCTATAACTTGGAGGAAGGCTCCAGAAAACACGCTTTCTTGTGCTATAAAACCACGAATGAATTTGCCACAACACCACATAACAGCACATGAAATGTCCCTACATGGCCGCGGATGAGCACCATAAACGATCCTACAGGGAAAAACTAAAACAGCATGACTCACTTCAACCTCCTTTGGTATAGTTAACCTAAATAAGAAATAAATACACATAAACATCTCGAACGAGATGTTTGCGCGAGGTCAATTAAATATGTGTTATCGCCGCATTCCAACACTTGTGATCCTACTTAATCTACAAACTGGAATGACGGCAACTTATCAAAATATACATTATATACCTAATGAAAATAAGCGAGAGAAAATACCGATCATGTGGCAAGACATACTTATAAAGAAAATATAAATAGTAATTTTCTGTATTCCTGAAACAAATAATACCAAAATTCTTTAAAATATTAGCACTCTCTTTTGTGATGAAGGGGGGGGGGGGGGGCTTTGCTATGGATTTTCTTTTTCTTTTTCACTTTGATTGAAAGACGGCATGCACGGGTGATGGCGCCACACCATTCACTTCATCTGTTCACATTTTACCGACAACGACCTTTCAATTCCCTGCCACAAAGTCATTAAAGTCAAGAACAGCAGCGCCTATTTATGCAAATTTCGGTTCGTCTCGGTTTCGGAACCGAATTTTGCCTTGGCTAACCACTTTGTTCAATTGCGCGGTTATGCAAGTTTAAGAATAAGGACACGAGACAAAGTTTGTGTTGAAAGGAGTGAGACAAGGTCTTCATATTTGGCCTTATCTTTTGGGGTTCCCTTCCTTAGCTGACACTACAAATATAATATAAAAATGCATAAAATGTAACGAAAGGGCATACTATTTTTAAATACTGATCCCGCTTTCTCATATTAGTTATTATTACACGTTGATCCAGCTAATGAGCAACAGCATGAAAATCGATATTCTGTCGGAACTTTTATTAACGAGCAGTATGTTAACTCGTTTGTCTCCGCCATTAAAGTCTCAATTTTAATGTTGAATGCTGGAAAGTAAATACATATAACAATATCTATAATTGTGAATCTTTCGGAGTAGAAAACCTAAAAGAGAGCAACTATATTTCTGAAGAACTTGAGTGTAGAACGTGAATCAGTTCGTCACTTCTATATTCCCCCACCTTTTGGCGCATCATTTTCAAGTCGACGTGGTTCTTGATATTTTCTTCTCACGAATTTTCTCACAATGCCCCGGTTTTATATAAATATATATTCCATAACTTTCTTTAACAGTAAATAAACAAATTGCTGTCAGCTTCAGTCAAATGCTTTTTTGAATGGCTGTCCCGTATGGAATAACATGACATCGAAATCATTTGAAACGTAGATTACACAAGGTCATGTTTTAATTTGACTCTTGGAAAGATGATATTGTTGAAGATATTGTGATCTAGTGAATCAGTCGATCAGAAAATTGTTCGTTTACGCTTCGGATTTACCTCGTGTTCCATTGGATTCATTATTACACAAAGTAAACAAAATAAACGTATAATCCTTAGATATGTTTGATTCTGGCAGAGAAATTTGCATAAGAAACAAAAAGGATATATCTTAAGCATTGCAATATCACTTTTACTTTGCAATATTAAATCCAAGGAAAAGGTGGTCTTAAAATCAATTTGAGATCAGGTTTGGTGAATTGGCGCCTCCTGTCTACTGTCTGTCCATGAGGATATGAAAAAGTATTAAAGAATTGCTCATTCGTCACAAATGCTTGGCTTAGAACATGTTTCAATACGAGCGTTGAGTCTTGGTAGTTACCACTCCCTGCTTAACGCTCACCGTTGTGGTACTGTTAGGAATGGTTTGTCCATTAACAAGTGTAATGTGACCTGGTAGGGTGTCCTGCTTGGTTCGTGTAGTACAAACTAGACGGCATCATCAAACACAACACAAAAAGCATTCTCTCCACACAGGTTCTCATCTCATACATTGTAAACTGATTTTGCAAATACATAGTTGTTCATAGAACGTTATAAAAAAGTAAAAAAAAACCAAACCAGGGTAATAAACGCGCGTGACACTCTTTTAGCAGATAATCAGAAATATCTGTTAAACACTTATTTTAAATATTTGGATTTAGATTATAACTTAAATCATCTAAATACCAACTGCACTTACAGAAAGAACTCCTATTTCCCATCGATGAAATTGGAATTAAATTTTTTTCTTTAATTTTCCGTGCAAAAATTTGTATAGGGAGACGTCCGAAAGGAAATTGATTTATACTTCCCTAACGCTATCTTGTGCATTTTTCCGGGCACATTTTCTGAAATTTAGTTGGCCTGTTTTGCAATTATACCGAAGTCGTGCGAAACGAAATCCTAATTAATTCTTAGTCGTGTTCTCCGACGTGAAAAAAATAGAGATGTGCTTTCGTATGCAGAAAGCAAACCTTTCACTAATTACACTGACACCGTCTGGGATGTACATACAGTCTGCTAAGATTATACGGCGTCGTTTGCTCTCTTCATATTTGTTAGTCGCAATTTACGGAGAAAGGAGATTAGAAAGTATGTGTTGAAACCGTTTTTTTTCAAACGTACTTGTTCTTTTTAAAGCATATATATGTAACACACTATACATGTTTACTTGGAATTATATCGGAGTTAAAGGGGAGTGTGGGGGGGGGGGGGGTATCTTAAGAATTGTTTAAGTTATTCCGGTACATCTTCATTCCCATTCACTTTAAATATGCTAGCATGCAGTTATTAATTGGATAAACGTCCATATGCAGGTATGACTCATAAATTGGATGTCACATGTAAATTGTTCATAAGAGAGTGATATGAAGAGATTTCATCAAACAAGGTACTAATGATGGGGCGCAAGTACATATTTTTTTATCTCCGATATTTAAAACTGTTGATTCTGTGAAGCATGGGTCTCAACACAATACAGAAAAAAACTTTAAGACCAATATGGTTATATGGGTGAAAATAGTCCTAGATAAAGAAAATAAAGGAATATTTGTGAAAAGTGGTTTCTCACTATCAGGATATGAGCGAAATCTTTTATTTCAATGGAAACAGATTCATAATCACATCGGCTTATTTCTTGTAGGTATACTGGAGTCATGTTCATTAGTAAAGTTCCTTTTTTATTTCGCTAGTTAATGTAAGTTCGATTTATATATTTTTTTACGTAGATTGAAAAAAACCATTTATTTTAGTTATAAAATCAATATTCCTTTCTATGAAATATTTGTTTTGTGGTTTTCTCAAAGTAAGAAAATAAAGAAAAAAATATAACATTTGCGTTCTGTACTTTGGTTCTGCATTTTGTTTAAGCTGTGCTCGAAAGTCAAATCAAATAGCAACGTCATGTTTCTACTCCATGATGTTGATAATATCTTTATTCCAACTCATTATCTAACGGTATCCATGACTACCTCTAAATTCCCCAGCGTACATCTTACTGTATGTTACATCCTTATTTTCTGAAAGTTTCTGTAGTCATTGCAATCGACTGTTGCTCTCATACAAGTGCAATAAGAAAACTTGTAAAACGTTTCTTTTAATGTATGAAAATGTTTATAAATTACGATATTGAGACGTGACATACCTCTTTCTTTGAAGGCTGTTGGGATTTCGGTTTGACTGCGAACTGTGCTTCTGACGGAGGGTGCCTGTCATGACCATCCTAGAAAATATGCAAGCAGGAAAATTAGACTAGAATTTAACACACCAAATCGACAATCATAGAACGAACAATTTCCGATAATCATTAATTTTAAAATCGAAGCTTACTACATCACACAATACATATATAGAACATATATGTCACTATAATGATGCTGAAACAAGCTTATCACCAATGTAGGCGTTATAGAAATTTGATGTCAGGTTTTTGTTTGATATGAACGTTTACTGTTTCGCAGAGAATATTAACTTTTTTATATAACGTCTATCAACATTGAGTCATATGCTATCATATGATTCCCTTACGTCATTTGTCACCGATATTCTGGAGAGTAGATTGGGTTTTTTTTTCAGTCAGTCTCAGACAGAATTACAAAGTATATTTGTCATCTGAAAAGGATGGCACGTTAGACTCACCAATAATTGTCAGTACACAACCTTTCGTGGATATTTATCTTGAAGACATATTTTCGAATTGACTAGATTTTTTTTTAAAGATTAAAGTGAAGAAGTCAAACTCTTTTTAGAGAAACGAGAAACCAAACGTCAAGACAAATGACTTGCGATGTTCAAATACAATGATATTCAGATCACTTTTTTTCGAAATTCGGAAATTTTTTTCTTCCTGGTACATTTATTGGGGATCCCGAGGTTTAAGAAAACTTACCTGTGTCACTTACAACGAATAAGTTCTACATACGAACTATGTAGAAAATTTTGTACATATAACTATACTGCATCAATTATGCCGTTCATCAAAGATTATAACAAAAGACATGGAAGTAAATAGCGCCTTTTAAAACAAATTTAGAGCAAGATACAATACAGACACATGACGAAATAAATTGCATACGTCTGTGACGCTGAGGTTCTTTTTTTTATCCAAATATTGTCAAAATCTAGATGGGAAGGTGTTTTAACCCAATAATTTAATAGAATGAGTCATGTTTCTGATGTATTCAGTCCACTATTCGTATGAATTAAGTCGTGGCATGCAATTTACGACAAAGTCCAAACTCCACCAGCAGTTTCTACCCGCTGTAATCTCGAAGGTTTTGGAATATATGTAAACATGAGGATAATGAATTTGTTTGCAAAATTTGAGACGGTATCTTCAAAAAACATATTAGTAGGAGATAATGATAAAATTTTCACTACGCATAAAGACATCATTATTTAACCTTAAACAGTAATCAAATCAACAATAGACACCTGAACCCAGCATATGAAATGAAACAAGATTTCTACGAAATACAGTGAACTGGCTTTCGATTTGGTCTATTTCTCAAAATGATTAACTAGTACTTTGAAGAGTACCATAAGGAATATCTAAGCCTATATATAAACATAGACGTTTTTAATTTTTATTCCAAATAAGGATTCGAACTAAACTCTAGCCATCAAGAATCTTCTTTAAATCGATGTAGTGAAAATTGGACTCAATTAGTAACATATTCAGTAGATAAACAGGGTTTTAGGTCCCTAAGATATTTTACAGAAAATATCAGATGACCATGTGTAATAGAATTAATACCTGGCAATCAACCATTGCCACAGGTGTAGATATTTCAAAATTAGCATGCTCTAAAACCAATTACTTTGTTTAGATAATTAACAAAAAAAATCATCTGAGCTACCAATCTTTGGTATTCAATAGTTTATCAATAATGATAGATATGATGCCCAGTAAGTTTGACTGATAAGTTAAGTATGTCGGTTATTTAGAAATTACACATGACCGACACAAGAAGTTTATAATCGAGCACTATCATACTACATTTAATACCAAATTATTTGGCATGAAGATTTTGAAAGTGTTTTCCTACTTGAGGGACGGTCTCATAAACTGAAAAAAGTTATAGATGTAGATATGTCTGTTTGTGTTATATTTTTCAAGTATATATTCGCATTTTCTCTTTAACAGCCATGGCATATTTATATCCGGGCTATCTGTTTAAAGCACCTGGTACTGACATCCCAGTGAGACCAGTGAGAGGAAAACATAGTGAGTTTTATAATGAAGAAAAGTCATCTATCACCAAAACAATGCATATTGTGGTGACATGCTATTCCATCACAATGAAGGAACCCCAGGGGTTAGAGATTACATTGGAGACAACGCTAGACTTACCCGACGAGAATACGTATTATATACGGTAAACTCATGTTCATCTTCTGATATTATTGATTCCTAAAGCAAAGCTTTTATGTCTAAGACGATATTGACGTCAGTCGGATTCGGATCTACACTCGATCTCATTGTGAGTGTCCAACTAAATCTGCTGATAGATTTAGGATATTCTTGATGATCACTCGACTCTCGTCTGAAGCCATTTTATTTTATAAAATACCTTTGCAATGTACAAACCACCACCCTCCACACCCATCCATCCCGGAAACCCATGAGAAAGAAAAGTAAATACCAAAATCGAATAAAACGGAAACAAACAAGAAAAAGGATAGGAAATATTCTATGTCTTAAAGCATCAAAAATGATGGGAAGCTGAAAGAGGTAGACTTATTTAGCATTCCAGCATGGTCGATTCATGAATTAATTTGGGAGGCCCCTTAAAGAACTGTCAATTGTTTGACGACCGAAGCCAATCATTGCCTACCTATTTACACATGTACATGTATCTATGTTCTGATAATGAATGTCTTTGGTTCTGAACTCTCGCACGAAATCATTGTCGAAGCAGTTGAATGATAGTTGAAGCTTTGCGGATGCTGAGGTCTAGTGTACTTATAAACGTTTCTGTACTAACACATGTTAGAATTCAAAGAATGATTTAATACGAAAAGAGATATCGAAAACCAAGTTGGCGTGGAATTAATCTATTCGAGCTGACATCTAAAACTATTTTTATTTTAAGAGGTCTGTAATATTCCTTTTTTTTTAATGAGAAATGTTTATTTTAAGTCTAAACCAATGGCATCATCAGTTAGACACCGCGTATAACAAGATGAATCCTATTTGGTTTGAAAGGATGTTACATGGAAATTAAAAACAGAGCATCTCTTGAGAAATCTTTTTAAAATCCGATTTTGAAAACTTAACTTGATTTCTGTTATCCTGTATGATTATGGATTGCATCTGACAGCAAACAAAAAAGATGAAATCACAAATTTTTTTCGTCGTCGGTATAAGCATCAATGTCACATCTAAACGCTACAAGAAAGATTATATCGACCTGAATGAGACATTATCTTCATAAACACGTGCTTTAATTTGTAGAACCCTATCTGAACTCTAATCTCAGTTCGCTTAGACAAGATGATACGGGACGGTACGGATTACAGCAACACATAATTCTAAGAAATAGGGTGATCAGCAGTAATTGATGGGAGCTGTTCCAGGATGAAATCACACAGGGGAATAAGACTGTTCACAAACGTATTAATTATTTATAGCCCAAGAGAAATAAGACTAGTGAAATACAAATCTTCTCATATATCGAAAAAGTTCGGCAATCATCGCTCCGGCAAACATCGGAATCCGTAATCTAACGATTTGTTCCGACATCAGTTTGATGTTACAGTGAACTCTTAGAACTTGTATATTGTTATCATTTTATATATTTGACCATGAAGTGTCAGTACCATTTTAACACTAATCGTACTGTCGAAAAATGTTGATTAAGTCGGTTTTAAACTAAATTGATCTCTATTATATTGTATACATCAGAAATTGCTTGATATTGGAGGTAAAATTTGATAAAATTTTGAGCAGAAATTTACATTAGTTTTTTTAAAAAAAAATTATTGTGATCATTAGAGAATGAGTAAATAATTACAAAATAACGCAAAAAAGAATCCATTTCCTGTCACTTCATTTATCTTAAATTTGCTGAAGTTAAGATTAGAAACGGTAAACGTACGAATAGGAAAACATCAGCCAATCAGCTGTAAAGGACAGATTCAAATGACCTGTATTACTGGAAACCAAGTACGAATGTCTTTATGTAGTTGAGTATTGTGGTTTCGTCTACTTAATGAAGGTCGGTTAGGATATTTTAAACGTATTCAAGTATTGAACAGGAACAGAAATATTAATCAACGGAGGAAAAAAATAGCCTATGGGCAAAATGACCCGTAAAACCAATGAAGAAAAATGCTACAAAAATGTATTAAGTTTTCAAATGTGAGTGAAGGTTGTGTGACAGAGAATATGTAAACACGGAGAAAAAATTCCGTCTAATGCAGCCCACATTTTACTTTCCTTTAATGAGATGTAACAGCAACTATAATTTCTATATCGTCCTAGATTTCACGTGGGTTTTGAGCATGGAATGCAATATTTCCTTTAAATATCACTATGTAATCTACAAAAGTAATAAGTTGGTTTCGTGAGAGCGTAGACCAATAAGTCTCGAACAGTGTCCTTCGCTAATCCAATATATCGCGAATATTACACCATATCTAATTACGTCACAGCCTGATTCAGTCTAATTCTAATCACAACGCAATTTGACCCTTACCGAACTCGGTTACCTTCAAAATGACAATAAACTTTTTTAATTACGTCACTCTTTCGCGTGACCAATTACAATCAAGCACAGAATGCCATCTCATCTCCCTTTGTGGCAATTACGTATTATATCCAAAGCGTTGTAGGTATATTTGTTCAAGGATTATGCAGAAAATAGCATTTTCTCTTTGGAGGCATTGAATCCACCGTAAGTAAAACGTATATACATGGACAGACAGACATTTGCTGTACATAGTAATTTGTTGGAATTTCTGTTTGTTTCTCATATCTATGATAATTGGTCATTCTTTCAAAAGGTGTTCAGCTGATTCTACATTTAATAGCCGGCAATTACATCAGGACCTTTTTAGTGATGATAAGAACACCTTTTCCTAATCTCATGTAGATACAGATCAAAAGTACAAAGATCACGTCTTTTTTCTTGTTATAAATGTTTCGCTTTTCGTAATTGAAAAAAACGCGTGCTGAAAATAAAAGAAAATTGATCGGTAGGATCGCAAGAGGTAAAAAGC